TACGCAAGTTTCTGGCCGTGAGGTCAAGTAAAAAAAACGATCTAAGCATGGAGAATTTAGTGATTAACTGTGCCAGTTTCGTACTCGTAAGAAGGTCGTACGTTTTTCGCTTCTAACGGCCCACCAAGAAATGTTTTGAATAAAGCTTTTGTCTTGAAATATTTCTTGGTCATTTTTGTCTTACTTCTTACTCACACTTTCCAGGTAACAAGTCCACAGGCGTGTTTGCTGAAACGCGTAAAAACTCAGCGACTTTTGTATTTTATCTTTATTTCCCAGTGAACTTGATATGCATTTATCGTTTTATTTATTTGAAACTTAGTTATTTGAATAGTCTACTGTACTTTCATCGGAGCTTGTTTTTTCGGAAGAGATGATTTCAGAACAATTCAGTGCGCCTTTTTTTTCTTTTCCCGTTAGGCACGCGGAACACTTAGGAGTCAATGGGTAAAAGACTTGTCTTATTTTCCCCTTTTTTTTTCGTGGGAACAAATTGTAAACTAAATTTTCTTATTTAGTTTTAACCAAAGGCTGCATGATTAAACCGATTCGACCTGTAAATCATAGGAGTAAATATCCCTTTCCTTGGGGTTGGTCTTTCGCGTGATCATTGCGGGAGACAAGTTTTTCCACCCACGCGCGAGCGCGCACGACCTTGGCGTGATGCGCATCTCATGTGTGCAGTGGCAATAGAACAATTCTATGCGCCTTTTTTTTCTTTTCCCGTTAGGCACGCGGAACACTTAGGAGTCAATGGGTAAAGACTTGTCTTATTTTCCCCTTTTTTTTTCGTGGGAGCAAATTGTAAACTAAATTTTCTTATTCGGTTTTAACCAAAGGCTGCATGATTAAACTGATTCGACCCGTAAATCATAGGGGTAAATATTCCTTTCCTTGCGGTTGGTCTTTCGCGTGATCATTGCGGGAGACGAGTTTTTCCACCCACGCGCGAGCGCGCACGACCTTGGCGTGATGCGCATCTCATGTGTGCAGTGGCAATAGCAGGCACTGTCCTTAAGTCAACCTGTAAGAGGCCAACGGCAGATCCTTAGAAGAACGATGTTATGGATGTTACTTGTGGTTGCTTCGGAGAAGGAAAACCCTAAATTACCAAACGTAGTCACGTTACTCATTAAAAGTGGCATTAACATTTCGACCATTCACCATTTTTGTTTCATCATTTGGCATGACATCTTTCTTATTTAGTTCTAAATTTATGGTCCTCTTCAATTTCCTTTTCAGTCGATGTGCATCCTGTGTTTGCCACTCATTTTCACCTTCCTCGATACGAGTGAAAGGATTCACAACTGTAAGATCTTCGTTTCTTCTCGTTGGCTTTGAATTTTACACCGTTATCTCCTCATCATCCAGTACTCTTTGTTTCTCCATGACTTTCGCTTCGTACAACACATCCTGGTTCTCAGGGTTTTCTCTCTCTTCTTTTTCTTTTTCCTTTGTTTCCGCGTATGCGTCTACTCCTCCTTGGAGAAAAAAATTAAATATTAACTTGTAGAAAATGAATAGCTTGACAATATTCACCACACCTACGCTTACGTACTCACTTAGCACTCTTACAAGGGAGAAGTGAAAATGCTGCCCCCTTCGATCTAGAAAAGTAAAATAACGAAATCAAGGAGATGTTTTTCACAACTGCCAGCTATGGCTAGAACGAGTCCGACTCGTACTTGCAGAGGGCAAATTCACGTCGAGAAGAAGGACCACCTATACGTACCATCCATTTTGCACACATCCCCTTGACTGAAATTCACCGAGTTTAAAGACAGGTTTGTCCAACGTAACATTGCATTGTGTTCGTGACCATCACTAATCAGAGTATTTTCCTTCAAAGAAAAGGTAGTGCGCTTCTGTCATGCTTTCGGCGCGATATTGCAGCACGTCCTCACTGAGAATATTTTTACGGCATTTCTTTAAACCATCTGCTGCCCATTTCGATATCGACTCAGTGTCTTCCATTATCGTATGAGCTTCGTGTAACCTTTTTCTGATATGTTGAGGAACTTTTTTCTCCTGTAAACCAAATGGTAATGCATTGAAATTAACGGGATGAATTAAAATGACGGATATTTATCAGAGGTGTTTGCTATCGTTTCTACAAGGTGGCGCATGGTGGCATAAATTGAAAATGTTGCAGCCTCAAATAATCTCCAATGACTGATATTCTAAGACATAAATTAGTGACAATGCAAGTACTCCTTAAAATCTTCTTTTCCTTGAATAAACCAGTGTACTGTATATGCTGATAAGAACTTTAGTTTCTCGGTAACAGCAAATACCAAGTATTACTTCGGGAAAAACTTACAAATCATTTCAACAATAGCCTGCCTGGGGATGATTTTAAAGTAACTTAGGAGCTTTTCAACGATGAACAAGCTTTACTGAGAGGCAAAAAGCTAACTAAACATCTCCTATTCGTGTTCCATAATAATGGAATTAGATTATTGTAAAGAAAAGTTAAACCCTGAACCCCTTTTGGTCATTGAGATCCTTTCAATAAAAAAGTGGGTTATTTCGGGCGCAAATTGTCATAAGAATATTTTTGACAGTTGCTGGTTATTATACCTCATCGAGTATGATTTGCTTATTTTTTGTTTCAACTCCGACGGACTGCACGGCTTCAGGGTCTCATTTTGACTCCGACCTCCAATCCGCACAATTCCCTTTGGATGAAACTGATGGATTCCCTCTAGAAACTGGTCAAGCGCGTGGTTTGTGTACTAGAGTTGGGTGATGAGTCAAAGACTGTAGAGACCAGTACCAAGATCTCACTTCATCTGAGTCCCACTTGCTATTGTTGTGCAACAAAACTTTGGTGATCTTTGAGAAACAAATAGAATGATAAAGGGTCGTTAATATCTTTACAATGTTCCAAATAAACAATTGGTTTCCTACAGTGACAGCTTTCTTAAATCTAAAAGGAGAAACAAAACATACCTTCAACCCAATGAATGTCTTTCCAGTACCCGGTGGACCTTGAATGATCGCAAACTCTTTGGTGAGCGCCATTTGAAGAGCTCTGTACTGAAAGTCATCAAGACCCAGATCTTCTGCAGATGGCCATGAATCCAGGTTCAGAATCGGAACGCTTTACATATGAAAAGTTTCTTTCTAGTTAGAGAGGTCCCGAACTCCTATGTTACGAAGGAGAACTATGTTTTTAAGTATTAGTAGACGACCGTGGCCACAAAGGATTCTTAGAACTTTATAAAAGTAGCTTTACGCTTCGGGAGGTGTAGAATTGAAACAAATGATACCGCTGTCGATTTTGATTCGTAGTTAGCATATATATCACGAATATTGCAGACGATTTATACACAACGTTTTTACGGCCAATACGCACAACTTTCGGTTTTTTTGGCTACTTTCACCTCATACCTTTTAAAAGTAGTTTTTCTCACTTTTTTTTACAATGAGAGTAAGATCAAAGGTGATTTGTCCCTGTGGTATACTTCTCAAGTAAACAGAAGGCTCGACTTGTTCTTGGCAATTCACAATGTACTCCTGTTGGTGCATAACAACATAGAAATATCAAGGAAGTTTCTGAGAGAGTTACCCACATGTTTCGCCCTTGATATGGGCCATCGCTCTGTACAACTACCCAATTGACTGATTTGCCTAGCTGAAATGTTCCGTTCAACCTGAGATAAATCGCCTAAAGGCAGCTACTACAAACAGCTAAAGTCCACGCGCCGCTGTGCTTTAGTGCACCAAGTTGTACTCAGTCTCCACATACAGGAACAAAATTAGGAAAGTGTACTAGTTTTAAATTGAATGTAAGTAGTTAACGATTGCGTTAGTAATGTCATAGTTTTGCCCCCTAAACCTATCAGATGCAAAACATGTGGCGACTTCTGGTACCTCTGACAGTTTTAGTAGGTTTATTTAAAACCTAATATTTGCCTCTATTCTGATTCAATACTTTGATTCACGTTTTACGATACTTACCCGAAGGCGCCCTATATTTAAGGAAACTCGAGGATGAAGGACCATCCGTACCTGAAAAGGTACATAATCCGGGAAAATCCGTTGTAGACCCTTAACCACGTGACGATACGCCTCAAAGTAGGCATTGCTCTCTACCATCTGGAACACGTCACTTTCTTCAAGTCCTTCAATATCAGATGGCATGATGAATTGTATATTTAGCATGCCCTTTAAAAGAGATCATAAAGGTAGCTTTGTTGTCACCCTTCTTAAGGATGATCTGTTGCAGACCTGGCTATGTCATGGACTGAGGGAGCCCATAACCCCTATTTACAGGTATTGCGCATAGATATTTCAGATAGGGAAAATATGGTAGGGTTTCGTTTGTGTTGTCTTCTTCTTTCGTGCACGCCTTAATTGATCGACGCAAGCCTCTAAGAAGGCCTTGGGATGTATTTTGAAGACTACAAGCCAAAACCCTAGAGTATGAGAAACTGTAATAGTGGAATAATAAATCCCTTATTCGATGGTTTAACATATAATGCGAGCGCACCTTTTGCCCTGTGGTCATATTTTCGCCGCCCCAGCGGGGCTCGGAAAAATACTACGCAACTCGCAAAATATCTGCGCGTATTTCATGTTAAACCATCGAATATTTGCTTATCTAAGTGTTCATTCTCTGAGTTTTACTCACCCATCTTATCTCTGGAAGTTCTCGGTTGGCCACTGTTGCAAACACAATTGTTTCAAACTGATCTGAAGACAAACACAACAACGAACCAAAGATGAGCCTTTTGCTGTTTTCCCAGCGCACATGTTTAAGGTTGAAGTTGTCAAACTTGATCTTGTAACGGATACCATTGGATTTATGTCCTGTAGGGCTCCAACTTTGGAGGAGCCAGGACATTTTAACAACTTTGTGATCCCTTCACGGAGAGGCCGCTGGAAGTCCTCACGTAAAAGCCGAAATGTACGTCTAAATAATGTTCCACGTCCTCATAGACCCCATCAACTTTGTTCCTTCTAAGGAAGGGCGTTCCCCCAGTGGATATGTCCTCTTGAGTGGGAATAACACTGAGACGTCGAAAAGGCGGATCTACGTCATCGCTGCTTTTGGCTAAAAAATTGTAAAAGAATATTTAATTCCAAAAAAATCAAATTTAGCAAAGGCAAAGAAATATGTTTATTTTGAAACATTCTCACCATTTTATCGAGGTTTCATCCTAATTTGCCTCTTTTCCTCTTCCTTTCTCTTAAGCTCCTCAGGCTTTTCCATTCGCAGTTTCATCATAGCATGGACCTCTTTCACAAGCATATCCCCTGGCAACTGCCCCGAATGGGACGCCAACCTTATTGCACAATACAGGTCAGACAACGGCAGATCAAAATAAGAGTTCGGGAATCTTTGGAACAATTCGTTCATTATACGTACCACACTTTTTAGATACGGGACAAATTCAGCTGGCAGCACTGAGTTAGCAGAGAGTATGTTCATATTGCGCCTTAGGCGTACATCGAGTAACGAAGACCCTGGCGATAGACTTGGAAGTTTAAACAGATAGTCTAATCGCAGGCTTTGGTGAAAATGTTCATGGTCAAGACGAGACTGTCGTTTGTAATTATCGACTACTTTTTCACCAAATGTTCGGTAGACCAGAGGCAACTCTCTGATGTCAAATGAAGTACAATTTATTCAGGGCTTTTGTTCTTCAAGTCTCGAAGGTTTTTGTACTCTAACAGTCCCTCGAGCCCATTTTCTGAACGTTTCTCTTTTAAGCGCCGTAATGTTTCACTTTGAATACCACTGGTTCTTCCATCCCCCCTTGCCCTTCCTCTTTTACCACCTCGCCCCCCCTTCTTCCTCTAGTTAACCTTCCACCCTATCTTATACTACCCTTGCTACTGCTCCAGCCATCATCAGTTCCCTCAGCAGCTTCTTTTCCATCATTCAAACTACCTCCGTGCTCAAGCTCCCCAATACCTCCTCCAGCTCTTTCTCCATTGCCTCTTCCACCACCTTTGCTACCACTCCACCAACCGCCTCTCCAACCTCCCCCTCCTCTCCCTCTGTTGCCTCTTAGTCCGTTCGATACTTCCCTCGTTTGCTCCATCAACGATGTCTCTAAAGAAGATGACGATAATTCAATTGAAGAGTAAATTGCAGATGTCACCTCTGACAATGAAATCGGAAGGTCTGTTTTACGAATCATCTTGCCAAACATGTGACAATATTTTGACATATTTCTTTCACTGAAGATCAAGAGAAAATCCTGAATGAACGACAACAACAAAGTTCCTGTCTTCAAAAAAAATCGCATCAATGTGCAATGTTTTGATGTCACTGTGTGATCATAAATTTGAAATCTCTCAGTTCTTCAAAAATTGTGTAGTACATAGAAGCCAAGGAAGTTAATGACCTTACAGATGAAAAAAAGCCTGTTAAGGGAGAAAATTATCCTCACCGCTGAGCTGCATTCTAGGATGATTGCAGAAAATGAGCTTGCATATATTCATCAAAACTTAAAGGAACGAATAAGCCACTAATGTTTACTTCGCTCCCAACACGTGGCTTCGTTACTCAGTTCACGAGGGCGTTCAACGAGTTCGAATTCCGTCGATACTTACGTCACTGTCCGAGAAACATGAGTAAAAGCAAGGCAACAAATGAACAAGAAATACTTCAAAATCAAAAATGTATTCATAGAAGAGCAATATTTTTTGGCGAGGAGAGCAAAACGTGTGCGTATTTCTTGCCTGCTTGCACAATGCTTGAATCATTGTTCACTTCACAGAGTAGCGTTTTGTTAAAAATTATGACAGTTTTAAAATATTCAACAAAATTTTCCATTATACAAAGCTTGAAGGGCATGTTAACACTTAAAAGTAACATTTACCGGTCCAAAGAATAGCCCAAAGGTCGCATATCCTTCAAGCAAGTTTAGTTTTCATTTCCCAGCGATATCGATAATTCTTATCACGTTTATGAAAGGAAATATCCTACACTCTGCAGCTAATGTGAAGGTGTAGTCTGATCGTCCGGGTGAGTGTAGTCCTGAGAAGGACTGTTGTCGGTTGCAGTGACTGACGTTTCGACAACCTGTGCGGAAGTCATCATCAGAGTCAAGTGAGTGATTGTTGTCAGTAGAATGTTCTTATTCCAGTTCGTGTGAAATGATCGGTTGGTTTTGCCGTGATGTTATTGGCTGTAAGACTCAAGTGACGTAAGTCGTTCGTGATTGGTCTGTTTCGGTCTGTCGGTAAAGCTAGGTTGTTCTTTTTCGGTCGTTTGTGATGTTTATGTCGTGAATGAGTCGTTTGTATGGGGCGGGTAGTTGTTGACATCTGTTTAGGGGAGTCTGTTCTAAGTTAGTAAACCAGCTTTCCAGAGTCAGTCGTTGAAAATAGTCAGTGCTGTAGGTTAGGCATTGCGCAGAGTCCCAGTCAATGTTGTGGTTGGTAAGTCGATGGTGTTCAGCAATGTGATTGCTGACATCACCTTTCCTCGTCGCCCGTCTGTGTTCAGTCAGTCTTGTTGTGAGGTTTCTGCCAGTCTCACCGATGTAGGAGGCTTGGCAGTCGGAACAATTGATCTTATAAATCGTTCCCTGTCTGTTCCTCGGTTCGTCTTTGTCTTTAACGTTGGTTAGTAACTGACGTAGTGTGGTGATGGGTTTGTGGGCGACGCGGATATTGAAGGGTAGTAAGATGCGCGAGATGTTTTCAGACATACCTTTTATGTACGGTATGGTTGCTGTAGTCGTAGGGGTTGCGGTGTCGTTTGTTTCGGTAGTGGTAGTGGGTCGGTGAGTGTTTCGTCGGATGAAGTCGTTGTTGTAGTTGTTCTTCGTAAAAACACGGTGAAGGTATTTGTTCTCGTCGGATAAGCTGTCTGTCGAGTCACATACTAGTTGTGCGCGTCGTGTTAGAGTTCTGATAGTTGTGGCTTTGTGTGATGTAGGGTTGTAGGATGACTCGTCTAGTAATCTGTCGGTGTGTGTCGGTTTCCTGTAAACTGTCGCTTCGTCGCTTTGAAGACCCAAATTTCCAATGTATCCGACTGGAGTATTCTTCAGCATACTCCCGTTACAATTTGAGCTCCAAAAGATCTATCTTTTCCGGGATGGGACGCAAGAACCATCATAAAAATTTTCAAATTTGCGGCTCCGGTAAACTGGACGGTAACCGCGCACACAATCTATTTCCCAGGGTCCTCTCCTCCTTATTCGAGAGAGGAACAGAAAGAGGATCCTGGGAACGAGGTTGAACAAGAATTAGACACGCGAGACGCCGCGTGAGATAGTGACACCAACGTATATATTGAATGCACAAACAAAGGGGAACATTTTGTTTTTCAAAGCTGTTACTCTGTGCCGGAACTCTACACTGATCCCACCCGCATTCACTCCACAAGCTGATTCAAAACCACATACAAAAGCATTCTGGGATTATCAAGGACATATGTGATTACTGCCACGTGGCAGTTATCTACGCGTTTCAAATGGAAAGACATTATAAGATACTCGTATTACGGTCTAAGAACGAATGCTCAAGCGATGACCAAATTTGAACTGGTTTGTTTCTCAAATGAATGGTCTTGCGACCCCCGTTTGGACACAAGGCTAACGAACTTAAGTTTAACAATACTTAAACAAAAACTTGAATTCCACGATTTGTGAGTGAAACTGCTCCAACCAGTTCCTCAGTGCTATGACTGGGTTTGCATCATGGGGTCATCCTGAAGACAATTAGCTTAAAACGCGGATTTCGAACCACTTTGACGCATTTCACGATCAAATCCGTCATGCATGAAAATTGTCTCGTTACTTAAATGAACACAGTGAACATTCACAAAGTCAAAACTCATGCCTATTTGTGCTGCAACTTGCATATGTTTGCAACAGGCAGCATAAGAACACTCACACTACATCAGATTTTCCCCTGCATCATTTCTACAGTCGATTTTTACGTCCAAATTTATTTATTTAACGTAAAAGGAAACGAATTCATCTGGTCACCTTACCATCACGTTTCAATTTAAAATTTTTCACTAGCTATAAAGCAAATTTAGTGAGGGATATATTCCTCCTAACATTATGAATTTATGTTAAATATTTGTATATTAAACTGAGCTTTGAAACTCCCCTAGAAATTTCAGGTTTCCGAAGGCAAAGTATCAAACGCTTTGAGAGAACTCGGACTGCAGTACAAATAATCAATGAATTTGTAAGCTAACCTTATGGTCAGTAGACCATGTCTCATTAATTAATCTCCTTTGGTTCTAGTTTCCACGTAAAATTTTTTCTTAATTCCTGGAAACTATGGCTACAATGCTTCCGTGGAAAAGCTACTTCATCACCATATACTATCAGATACCATCTTCCCTATTGAATAGATCCTTGATAAGGAGGCTAAGTCCTAAGTAATAGAGCTCCCTCTTCGAGTTGCTAAGCTCACATTTGAATTTTCTAGGTAAAAGTTGAGGAGCCTCGCCCACAAAATAGGGTCACTACTGATTTCCATGTTATTGTTCCTTACGATCTTTTCCACAATCTGGGCAGTTTTTTTCCTCTATCCCCTCGCCACACTCTGTGATACCGTAGATGTGACCTTCAAGATAAGAATACAATTTCAAATAGCGACGAAATTCACTTGCAACAGGGATGGTGTTACTGTTAAGCTAACCCTTCAGATACTTTTTTTAAAGAAACGATTGAAAACCATTGTTTTAACAATCATTTTCATTCGTTTCTCAAAAAAAAAGTAAGTTTTCGTAACTAGGTAGCCTGTGCAGCAACGACGCTATTACTTTAAACGTTGAGCTGCTAAGAATTTTCCAGGAAGTAATGGATTCTTAAGAAAATGCACAGAATTTCAGTAAAAACAATTTAAAAACACACTGAAAAAGAGAGTCTAAATGCTAATGTCGCGGTTAATACTACTCTGTGGCTTTTACTAAAATAAATAATTAAAATGAAATTTACCTCTTGAACACTTGAGCCAATGAGCCTGTGCCAGACACTTTGAATAGATAATCACACTTTGTTCGTCTCTTAAAACCGCCAGTTTGAAGACTTCAAGGTTTTCTTCCCGTCTTATACTTTGGATACGAGCAGTATATCGATCTCGAAGTGTTTTGCCTGAAAATTTTCTTAGCATTAGTGAACATATTTTCGCACTTGTAATTGTAAGCTGTCCATAAAAATGATTTTTAAATGTTAAAATTTCTTTCAGAAATCATAAAGTGATGATGCAATGGTAAGGGCAAGGTGAACTGTACCTTAGCATACCATACCTAGATACCAAACAATTGCCATTTAATCAAAGAAGACACCGTCTTTCAAAGCTCACGGTTGACCTATCTTTAATAACACTTCATTTTTCATCTGCCAGTGCAAAGCCCTTACGTTTTTGAACTTGATTCTTTAGGTTACAGAACGAATATAGAGTGAACACTACGCCCTCACATGATCTTAAATCTTTCATCCATTAGAACTGCTCGAAATCTTATACTTAATTGTTCTGCACTGTAAACAGAAATGTATTCTTACCAATCTTTCCCTCTGAATCCAGTTCTTTTTTCATCAAGCCATCAATAATACTCAGATCAATTCCATGGATTTCTAGCTGCAAGATAAGCAATCTAAAATCGAAAAGAAGCTGCGTTCTATACATTTCCTCATTAAGTTCTTCTAATTGCTGGCAATTGAGTGTCCAGTAGTTTAATGCCATGACGCGAGTGCGGAGTTTTTCCACTTTACGTTTCAATTTTTCTTCCATTTCTTGCGGAAGGTCTTCACTCTCAAATAGACGGCGTGTGTTGGCTTTAAGGGTCTGAAGAAAAGACAAAAGGTTGATCTGGTTCCTTGCCACATCGAGTACTTCAGCTGCGTGTTTTGCCGAACCAAGCGATCTCTTGATTCTATCTCGGTCTTCGGGAAATTGCTCAATTCCCTGTAGTGCAAATGACAAACTCTCCACTTCTTGACCACGAGGTATTTCAAATGACGAAGTATTCCGTTTAATTTTCTCGAAGTCAGCGAGAATCTTCTTGACAACGTTGCCATATCGTAAACTGGTACGAATCGGAACTCTGCACTTTGGGCAGAGCATGGGTTGAACAACAACAGGCTTCCCATCCTGCGTTACTTCGGCCTGATCCATCCACTTATCCATCATTTTCACTTCAAACACGTGACCACAGTCCGCCAATTCAACGAATCGAGCATTTGGTTCGTCTTCAGTACCGAAAAAGATCTCTGTGACCTCGTCCTTATGGCACACTCGGCACTTCTTTGGACATGGTTCTCCACAGAGACCAATACAAGGATGATTACACAACGGAAGAGGCTTCGTACAAGGTTTATTGCAACGAGGGCGATCACAGAGCTCGCTGCATAACTTTGTGCACTTGTAATGTTGGCACTGCCAAACGCATTTTTTTTCACATGGATCACAAGGGTCGCCACACTTCTTACTGCATTCATTGTGCTCGCAGTAGTTGCCGCACTTTTCCTTGCATGGTAGACAGATCCTGGCGCACGCTTTAGAGCATTTGTGCCCACAGAACAGTATTCGGCGACAATCATTTTTGCAAGGTTTATGGACTCGACCACCAATACAACTACTGCAATCACCTAAATAAGACACAGGTTAAAAATGAATTTGTGAAGTAGTAATTGTCAGTATCTTTTGGCCTCGCACTTTTTAAATTCTGTTTATGACCCATATTCATCCTCATTCATTACACTTTCACAAGACGCATCAGTTAACTACAAGACATCTAACTAGAACTCGTACCGAAAGACGCTCTCTCACATGCTGGGCTCTGTTGCAGATCGACACAGCTTGCAGCTTCAATTTCCTTGATAACATAGGTTAAAATGAAAATGTTGTGTTGAATTCGAAACCATGTCGCTTACAACCAACCAAAGAAACTAGCTCGTCATTTCAAAACAATGAAAAATGACAACAAAGTCCAAACGGTGCTTCCGGGTTCCAAAAAGTCCTACACCCTTCACGAGAATTAAATGAAAACCTATTTGAATTAGAGTGAAACAAACCAAACACTTGTCTGCGGAGACATGTTTTAAAACTTATAGAACTGCTGATGTAAGCATCCACGGCAGTTTCTTAACAGACTTACCAGCACAAATGTGACCACATTTTAAAATCACGTCGCAGGGCGTTTGACATTCAACTCGAGTGAGATCATTGCAGAGGTGACAAGGGACTTCCTGGTGGTGACCACACCCCGGAAGGATCCTATCTAAGGGTTCCCGACAAGGCCCGCATACTTGGAAGCATCTCTTGGGGCACTTGTGATTCAGATCGCAAAGTGTATTGGTACAAGGCTTTTTACAACGATATTCTTCGTGAGCTGGGTCTATTGGATGACACATCAAGTCACACACGTGACCGCATCGGAGTCGAAAGGTACATGGTTCAGTGCAGCCTCCGTCTGGTGCTTTCTTGAAGTCGTCTGCAACCGAAGCGTGGATCACTTTTTTTGGATGGTTTTGGCAAGTGAGTGTCAGAGCATTTCCTAGATTTCCAGAATCTCGCATGCCGTTGATAATTTTGTTCCACAATGAACTCTTTTTCGCGAGTAAAAAGAAATTACCAATACAGAAAAAACCTTTCTTCGCACGAGATAGGGCGACACAAACTCGGTTTTCTATCTGCAGGAAACCGATTTTGCCATCCTCGTTGCTTCGAACGAGCGAAAGCAAAATTATGTCATTTTCCTCTCCCTGGAAGTTATCCACAGCACAGACTCTTACACCTCGAAAGATTTTACCCGCCATTTCTTTTTTGAATTGGGTTAATTGCCCAACATAAGCCGTTAGGACTGTAATTTTTTCTTTTTCGTAGCCTTGGAGAATGAGGTAGCGACACAGAGCAGCTATGAACTTGGCTTCGTGTTCATTTGACCTACTCCTTCCTTCCTCCAAAAAATCCTGCATGTAATGAAAAAGAATGGAACATTCTCTCATTTATAACTATATTCCCTACCTCAGATCTTATTCTAAGACGGTCGAACGAGTTACATAGAAAAGTAGAGATAAAGGCCAGGCCAAAATTGTGTATGATATACAAAAATTTATACTCATCATTTATTGCTGTTTTTACATTTCACAACTACGATAACGATAACAGCAATATATCGTCTCCCCTAACATGGCCGTCAGCTATGCAATTCTTTGGAAGATGAACATTATTTGACTGGCATGTTATACCAACATGGTCGCCGCTTTTTGTTAGAGTAGTTTGGCTAACAACAAATAATTAAGGCCTTACACAATCGAAGTAGCTGTGAAGTAACTTCTTTCTTGCACTCACCTCACTTTTGGCGTGTTCCACAAAAAAAACATTACGAGTCACACCCATAATGTTCTCAAAGTTCAGCACTGATTTGTGGTTTTCCAGTTTCGGATTGAAGTAAATATGCTCCAGCATTCTGGAAATTTCGGGTCTCATTCGATGCTGTAATCGCAACCGTTCATATGGCACTTTATTTTCCACCATTCTCTCAAAGAGTGACACGTCTAAGTTGTATTCTTTGGCGAGTTCGTAAACTGTAGGATTGGGGCGAAGCTGTTGATGATCGCCTATCAGAATCAAGTGCTGGCATCCGGGAGTTAACGATGTAACAATGTGTGACTCCAGTACTTCAGCAGCTTCTTCCACTATGGTTATTCGGGGTTCCAATTCTTCCAGGATTTTTCTGTACTTCGCCGCACCTAAATAAATATTTCAAAATAAAAAAAAAGGAGAAGACCTTGAGGGCACTCATAATATGACAGGAATAATCAGAGATTTCTTTGATCGTACCCGTGGCGCAGTTCAATCAGATCATACATACCATGTAGGGTTGTAATGTAATGTAAGGGCTAACGCTCGAAACGTCAGCTTTTGTAATCGTTACGGTGGCCAATTTACCATTTCAACTTTGTTGATATATCCAAATTATATTGTAATGTAAAGGTTGATGAAAGAGATGAGTTTTATTTAATCATACTCACCTGTTGTAGTCATTCCGATGACATCTGCCTTCCTTAGAATGAACAAGTCCAGCTGACCTGTTTGCTGCTTAAGTTCCTCGACACCTCTCTCAAAGTCAGCGAGGAAGTATATCATTTCTCGGCGGCAACGCTCTCGTACGTCCCGTACCCAACGCCGATACAAACTCCAGCGGTCTTCCAAGCTCAAATTCCAAACATCTGTGATCTACAGTGAGGTAACATATTGATGTTTTTATTGCAATTAACTTTAAATCGGGAACGATCATCTTAGCATGTCACGGTAAGGTTTGGGTTGAAGTAACTATCCAAATTCTATACTTGGACTTTAATGCTGAACTATCTATGTAAAGGCAATAATATGAAATGCAGGTGCGTAGCGTCCTCTACGCATATATGCACGTGCGTACTTGAAGTGACCAGAAAAATTTGAAAACAATGTTTTGTTTGCGCCAAGTTTGCTCAAAATAAGGGCAAGACGCTTTGTTCTTTGCTTGTATTTACACAACTATTTAAAACAAGAAATAAAGAACGTAGTATTTTTCGCTCAGTTTACTTAGGTTTCTAGATCATATGTACTTGTGCGTACTTGAAAAAAGGACCATGTTGCGCGGCTGAAATGTTAGCAGTTTGTAACATTTGCTGCACCTAGTTGACATTTACCAGCCTTAGAAACTGTCTTTCGAGAGAAAAATGTTGGAAACACTTAGAAAGAAAAGGGTGCTTAGGTAAAACTTAAGTCTGAGCGACTTTGACGACAAACAGGATTTGAAATGCTCACGAAAATCAACATATCAAAACATATCCCAGTTCTCAGATAAGAAATCTTAGGCGAGCTATGAATTTGCAGCTGCCTAAAGCAACCCCTTATCTTGCTGGTCTTAGAAATCATTCTGGTAAGACCAAGAGAAATAACCAATATATTGTCACCAAACATCTCGAAAGACATAGCCCTTTACCTAATAGTCTATTTCAGGGTTACACAAAAATTGGTACGTCATTTAATTAATATGAATTGAACCACACTCGGTATCTTAACACTTACCATTTTCGCCCTCTCTCCAGACATGATATCGTCTTTACTCAGTTCAAAATACATGGTCTTCTTAAGTTTCCTTTTCAGTCGAGATGCGTTCTGTATGTGCCACTCATCACCGCGTTCCCCATTATCGGTAACTGATGGATTCACAACTTGGAGAAGGTCCTGAGTTTTTCTCGCGGGTTTCGAATGGTAAACGTCATGGTCGTCATCTAACAGTCTTTGGTTTTCCATAACAATCGCTTCATACAACACATCCCCTTCATCTTCGTTATCTTTGTCTTCACTGTCTTCCTCTTCTTTTTCTTCCCCTTCTTCTGTATGTTCCCCGCCTCAAGAATATAAAATGATGATTATTACCTAGTTATAAATAGCGATCATCTTAAAGAAGCTAATCACTTCATCCTTAAATAGATATAAAACTCTACTCTCTCTTTCCTTTCCTTAGCATGCGTAGGTTAGATAGGATCCTGACTTAATTACGTTCAACGATTTCAAATCATCATCGCCAAATTATGATATTTTATATGAGAAGTGCGGTGTCACAATGGTTGGCCACATTTTTGTGCGATGTCTGATTTTGATCTTCTTTGCGCTGTTTTATCAACAATTCTTTGATCTGGATAGCAAGTATGACAGAATAATGTCTGTTGGAACATTAGGGTACTGTTTTGGAAGCCAGATAGAGCGTATTGGCTACGGAATATGCTATTTTTTATCTAAATCTACAGTAGATTCACTGGAACAAGACGCAGCTCTATTCTCTCAGGACCTGATCAGGAATTTGTCTGTACATACATCAGCACAAAGGTGTTTAAAACAAAAAAGATCAAAGCGACCTAGTCAATATTATGCAAATTCTGTTGCAACAACCAGAATAATTTTACAGCATGGTGATATCGAGGTTAATCCCGGCCTGAAAATACAATGACTTCAAATCTACAAAATCGAAAGTGAATATCTGCATCCTTACTAAACGCTCGTTCTCTTCGCAATAAATCATCGGACATTCACGATTACATTGTGGATAGCAAACTGGATTTATGTGCCCTGACCGAAACCTGGCTCTACTTAAATGATGATGTAGTCAGAAATGAAGTGTGTCCTGCCGATTATAAATTGTTGGATCATCCTCGCACTGGTCCACGAAGAGGAGGTGGTACCGCCCTTTTATACCGGAAATCACTATTTCAAGTCAAAAAGCTTGACGGAGGAGAACTAAATTCATTTGAGTTCTCCGAATACCCAGTAAGATCACAATACCACCATCTCCGCGTCATTGTAGTATACTGACCACCGTATTCTGATGATCATAGGATCACTACAGCTTCATTTATTAAGGACTTCGGGGACTATATTGAAACAAAACTACTGTCATACGAAGAGTTGTTACTACTAGGTGATTTTAATATACGCATAGACGTTGCAGATGATAACGATGCCGTGAAATTTGCTTATCTGTTAGAATCTGTTGGATTAAACCAACGTGTAAACCAACCAGCTCACATGCATGGTCATATCCTGGACCTAGTTATCTCACGTAAATCGGACGACATTATCTCTGGTATACCTCGTTCTGATCGCTTTCTATCTGATCACGTTGCTGTTCACTTTAATATCAACTTCAACAGACCATTTATGGCAGTTAGGACAATATCATATAGGAAGTTTAAATCTATTGATATGAATGTGTTCCGATCGGCTATAGCTGATTCTGATTTATGCAAAAATCCACCCGATAATCTTGATGATCTTGCGATCTGCTACGATACCACCTTAAAAGGGATTCTGGACAAACACGCATCGCTTGTAACGAGAACAATAGTAGAAAGACCACGCGTTCCATTGTTTACTGAAGAAATCAGGGTTTTAAAGAATGAAAGACGCGGAAGAGCAGAGAAAAAATGGAGACCTACGGTAGCTAGTTTTAAAACATAACATCACATAACATTTATTCAGGAAGCTAGAACGCAAATGTAAAAAATACATCCTGAAAAGGGAAAATCGCGAGGTTAGCCCTGTATAAAAACAATTTCCCTGAACTAAAAACATAGAAAAGATAAAATTTAATGGCTACAGATTCAATAAATATTCAATAAATATTCAAATAAATTTTAAGTCTACTCTTAAAAACAGACAATGATTCGGCGTGGACAATGTATCCTGGCAAGCTATTCCATTTCCCCACAATGCGAATGAAGAAACAATATTTGTAACAATTACAAACCGCTCTTTTCAGGTAAAGTTTATAGTCGTGGTTAGCTCTTGTACGCTTATTGGCAAACACAAAGAAATCTGGGAAAGAGAGGTGATCAATACCAAAAACTATCTTATAACATTGAACCAGAGATAGAAATTCTCTCCGCTTTTCTAGTGTTTGCCATTTTAGTAAGCTACAACGGTGTTCGTAATTCATTTCGCCTCGTTTCTGCCTTAAAGCTAGTCGCGAAGCTCTTCGTTGAACCGTTTCTAGAGCCGTAATATCCTTAATCAAATACGGACTCCAAACAGGAGCCGCATACTCCAGTATGGGCCTGACCAGTGATTTATAGAGCTGCGAAAACACGTACTGGCTATTAGTTCCGATGGACCGCTTTATGATACCTAGTACCATATTTGCCTTGTTTACCGTTGCAGATACATGCAAGCCCCAGGACAGGTCAGAAGAGATGGTTACTCCAAGGTCCTTAGTGTTCTCTACGCTGGAT